GCTGAGAAGCCATTTTACACCCTCCCAGAACAGGTTTTTTTTTATGAAGGAAGCAGCTAATTCTCTAAACAGTTCTTCGTTTGCACTGAATATTCTGCTATTGTCATTGGTCTTTGGTACACACAATGTCATTCTCTCCAAAATTTAATATCGTTGTCTATTAATTCAGTTGCTACCATTAGAAGCACTTCTACAATTCTGTATGTGAACCTATCATAAGAGCCAGAGGCTGTTTGACTGCTTTCAGATTATGCGATGATTGTCATTATTTGATGGAACAGTTCTTTGCTGTTAAGGTCTTTGAAGTTGGAATTGTTTTCATCTTGGGAATCTCATGACTAACATAGTTCTTCTCTTGAGAGCAGTTTCTCCCCGGCAGTTTTCCTCACTGCAAACTTCTTTTACAGAAGCCAAAGTAGTATTTGCTTTTGTGAAATGTCTCAATATCTGACACAAGTGTTCTATCTAAATAATGTAGCAGAATGTAAATACATCAAATGGAAATGTAAAGGGGGCAAGAATGCTTTTTTCTCCTCTTCCCATTGTCTGAAGAAAAACAGCTTTAATGCAGCAAGCACCACTTCACATCAGTGATTACTATGAATTTTTTTGCAACTACAATATATAAAATGTTTCCCTTAACTCATGTATTGCACCTAGAAATACTTTTGGAAGTGTGAAGTATAAACAAAGGCCAGCAAGTAGACACTGCTGGTCCTCTATCTGTATTGGGAATCACCTAGCATACTGAATTTGGTACTGGAATCCAAATAATGACAATTTTAATATAATGCACTGCTTCTTTATCTGCTACCAGAAATTTGCCTAGATTTTGTGAATTATTCAGTCATCGATAGGTAATTTTTAACTGATTTTTGCCTCAAAGATTTGATTCAGCTCTTAAATTGTTAAAGTGTCTAGTTTTAGAATCAATACTTAAAAGTGTATATTACATGCTGCTAACCGCACCTGGTGCCATCAATGCACTTTACTCCAGCAAATGTATATTGTCATCCTAATTCACCTCATCAGCAATATTAGAGAATCTCTAAATTAGCTAGCTGCCTTTTAGCTTACAGTATGATATAGTTTCTGATAATAGCCATTTCATTTCTGGAAGCGAACTTTCCCAGGAGAGAGTAATTTTTTGTTTTCAGAGAAAGATAAATTAATACACGTTTTCTGTGACAGGGTTGAATACTAGACAGGGAGGGATTAATCTCACACTGAGGGTCAAGGAAGCTGCTCCCTCAGCCTCCAATGGGAATGCTCCAAATGGACTTCCTGTATAACTCAGTATGACTACCTCAGCTGACCGCTGAGGATGGAAGACACATGTAGCAGGCTTCTGTATGGAAGCTGTTGGACTCAGACCACAGAGGCTAAGCAGGCCAGGATCCAGACAGATAATCAGCTAACCATGGACACCAGAGACCCAAGAGACTGAGAGGCTGTTCCACTGGAAGACAGTGGAAAGTAACCCAAGTGTACTAGGTTGTGATCTGATTTTAGGAACAGGCACTAAGTCATTGTTTTATGATCAGATCCCTCTGACCCTGTGGTAAATAAACTTGTTGCTGACAAGGCCATGTGCTGGTACCCCGGGAATTAGTAAGGGCCTCTATCCCTCTACCCCAGTCACTACCATACCCCTTTGGCGGTGGCCTATTCTCCTCTGATCACTAGGCTATGGAGGAGGCAGCCTCACTGGTTCTGGCTATTAGGTTGTACAACCTTGAGGCTAAGGATGGCCAGGTGGACTTAGCTGTGGGGCTATAATGTAGTTTTCTCACCCATAAAGGGGGACAGGCTACACTTGCCTCATAACACCTTCCTTAAATTTGGTTGCAGAATTTCAGTAGGAGCCTTTGATAAAGAAAAGATGGCTGAAGCATGTGAGTAGGCTCAATTACTGGCTCTGCCACAGAATTTGTCCATCATAGACAAATGACTTAATCTCTCTGGGCATATCTACACTACCCTCCTAGTTCGAAATAGGAGGGTAATGTAGGCATACTGCACTTGCAAATGAAGCCCGGGATTTGAATTTCCCGGGCTTCATTTCCATAAGCGGGGAGCCGCCATTTTTAAAACCCCTCTGGTTCGAACCCCGTGCAGCGTGGTTACACGGGGCTTGAACTACGTAGTTCGAACTAGGATTCCTATTCCGAACTACCGGTACACCTCGTGGAACTTGGAACGAGGTGTACCAGTAGTTCGGAATAGGAATCCTAGTTAGAACTACCTAGTTCAAGCCCCGTGTAGCCGCGCTGCACGGGGTTCGAACCAGCGGAGTTTTAAAAATGGCGACTCCCCCTTATGCAAATGAAGCCCAGGAAATTCAAATCCCGAGCTTCATTTGCAAGTGCGGTATGCCTACATTACCCCGCTAGTTCGAACCCTCTGAGGCTGAGGATGCCACCTGTAAAATGGAATATCACTTCTCTTCTCTCACCATTTGCCTCTTGCCTATTTATTAGTCATGAGTGGCAATGGGGCTCTTCATTCCATAAAAACATGGAGATTTTGAAATGTTTTGTTCTGAAGCAGAAACAGGGCAAAAAAAGAAAAATCTCATAATTGTGCACAGTGGCAAGCTAGCTGGAGATCTTGCCATCCTTATCACCTTCCAGATGGTCAACACAAGGGGGCTGATCAGGTAGGGAAACAGCCATTCAGCTCCTGGGGGAAGCCAGTTGCCCAGGAAGTCCGTGGTCCTTGAAGTGTGGCTTCATGGAAGCTCAACAAGTGGCCTGCCAAGGAGCAGGACAGCCAAAGAGTTTCCCATGAGAAAATGGTGCTTTGAAGATTGCATTTTCTGATAAAGCCTCAACCAGCTGTGATGTGTATACTTTAAGGGCTTTGGACGTGGACTGTTTCTTACTATTCAGTGTAAAGTATACTTAGCACAATGGGACCCAATTTGAGCAGGACTTTCAAGTAGAGTTATACAAACATATTAATTGGGAATCCCCCCAGACTTACCTCTATCACAGTGGTGGGCAACCTGCAGCCTATCAGAGTTCTATGTGTTGTCCACATGACATTTTGGTTACCATTTCCCAAGAGCATGATTGCCAGATTCTGCTGGCTTCTGTCCATGTCATTTTTTTCCCTACCAGTATTACTAAAGTGACATGCACATAAAGCAAGGGCATGTGAAGTGAGGTGTGTGCTGATTGCATATAACATTGATTGTTAGAGCAAAGTGCTCCCTCTGTACTGCTATGGTTCAATCAGCACACCCTGCAAATTCTAGGTGTGCAAGCACAGTTAACACAACCTCCCCACCCGAGAGACTGTCTTGATTACAACAAATCTTAGGGCCAACTGTGGTGAAGGCCTACTCATGCGGCACACTCACTAGCATCGGTTGCCCATAACTAGAATCCTGCAAATCTGTGGATACAGTAAAGCCTGTGTTATCCAGCACGCTCGGGGATTAGGGAGGTCCGATCATCTAAAAATTCCGGTTATCTGAGGATCCCATCAACCTAGGAAAAACCAATGGACAATAAAAACTTGAGTTTTACTATTAATATTGGTAGTGTTGTAGTGTGTGGCAGTTGGTCTCACATTTCTATTTTGAGTTAAAGATGATTAGTACTTCTTAAATAAAAAACTGTTATGCCAAACATGGTAAACCAAGGCAGGCCTGTGCACCTGAAGATGTGACAGTATTGTGGCTGGGGGCAATGCTGGTTAACAAAGTTTTCTGCTTAACAGAGTGCCAGATAACAAAGGTTTCACTCTATATGCTTTATATATGCTTTATATCTGCAAGCATCCATGCATGTGGATGTGAACATCCACAGCTTATTTTTGCCAATACAGATACAAAATTTGTAGCCACATTCGTATCTAGAACCCTGCAAATTTGTGGATATCAGCTTTATATTGGTGGGTATTTGCATTTATGGATGTGGATGCCCATATCCCCGGCTTATTTTTGCTGATATGGATGCGGATATGGATACACTTTTTGTATCCATGCAGAGTTCTACCCATCACTGCTCTGTTCAGACATGTCCCATCCATAGAATGAATTGGGGTATCTGCCCTTTGCCCCACATTGAGGGTCACATAGCAGCCACCTCAACTGTCCTCTTCAAAGCGATCTTCAGACAAAGATTATTATTGCACAAAGCTGAGGTGACTGATGCAGAGGTTCAGGCTGCCTGATCTCAGTGAACAAAACAAACTACATAATATTTTTAATTATTCTCTTGCTACTGGGTGAGAGATGTCTTTGTGAAAAGGGCTAGAAGAGGAGCAGATCAGATTGACTGTAGAAACAGGCTGAAAATATGCCATCATCACTTACTGAAGAATTACTATTTTAGCAAGGTTAAGCACCTATGGTGCTTTCAGTGGGCTATATTCCTCCCCTGTACTTGGAAGAGAGGATGAATTATGAAAGATCTCATAGTAGACAGGGTGTGTGTTGCTGAATCCTTAGTGTGGATTCTTTGAAATTTTTAACTTTAGAAATGTTTAGAGACCAACGTTCCATTTATGGTTGCAAAATAGCTGAGGGTAGCACAGCCTTTGAGACTGGCACCCACAGAAACAACATGTGAGATGACAGCCTTATAATTCAAATTTAGTCACTTTCTAATACAGTTTTCTACTTGATCTGTAGCTGAACTGAATTCAATGTGCCTAGATTTTTTCCATGTCGGTTTTATGGACTAAATTTAGATAAAACAGCATGATACATGGAGATTGAAAAGAGGTGAAATATTACATCCAGGGCTTAAAACTAAATGCTAATTGGTATGGAATGTCCAGCAAAACTAGGACAAATTTACAGAGGGACCAATAAAAATTGGACGGCTATTTCTATTAGGTAACTGTTGAATTCTTACACTATAAATTAAGAGAACAGTTGGAACTCACCTTTAAAAATTGGTTTATCCTATCTGAGTAATAGTCAAGTGCACAGATCACCTTGTCAACTTACAATGAATTCTCAAAGACCAGTTCTTAATCAAATCCTTCTATTTAAATAAAATATGGTTCTGTTGGTACTAAGCTGTATTTCTTAGAGTATTCCCTCTTGCAACAGAGGGTCTTTAACAGATTGTTGGTTTTTCTTCATAGAGAAGGTCCATTTTCTAGATTAGAGCATTGCCTGAGGTCAGGGATCAGATAAATTGAAAGAATAATGGTAAATACTGTTTAAACTTTTTGCATCAATAATAAGCGTTGGTAATTTTGACTAGAAAAATGAGTAAAAAGTTCATAAAAATGAGCTAACTCCTATCTTCATTTAATTCATTTGAGGTATCGGATCTTGCACTACTGTGTAGCATTGTTATATCTGACTCTGACACCAAACTACCTCAAAAGTACAAAATACTTTTGGCTCATTACCCGGATACATTAGGAAACTAATTCTTTAAGCAATAAGAACATGAATACATTTACTTGAAGATCCCATTGAAGATTTTATAGTATGTTACTCAAGCTCCTAACTGTTGGCTACAACTGGCCCTCTGATGGAAAGTTTCTGTTTGTGGCAGATTTTTGCAATGCATTTTTTAAATGAATACAAAAACATTTTGTGAATAGGATACCATAATTCTCCTGTTTTGTCCAAAGTATAATACGGTATTTAAACTTTAATGTAATTATCAGTTTTTACTGGAGGCTTCATCTTTCTCAAGTTAAAAAGAAACTTTTGTCACTTACCAAGAAAAAAATCTTTTTTCAATCCTAATTAAGAATATAAATGTTTTTTTAAACATTTTTGGTGATTTAATAAGTGGATTGTACTTCAAAACTCCAGAGATCAAATTGTTTTAAACAAAGAAAACAAAAGTAGTCTAATTAAATGGAATTTTTTAAAAATCTTGAAAATGGGATTTGTATTACACTCTACAACATTCATTTCACTCAGTATGGCCAAGCTCACTCACCTATCTTACCTTGTGACTAGTCTCCCTGAAATTAATGGGACTAGTTAAATAATAAAATGCTATTCAATAATTTGGTCAGGAAGGCTTAACTGTGAATGCATGTCTGTCAGAGAGGTGTAGGTCTAGATGGACCTATTGCAGATGTTGCATACAGTGATATCTATAATTAAGGTCGCCCAACATTATGAGATCCTTTTTTCAGTCGCTTATAACATTTGCCATCAACCTGTTTGGGCTGAAATTTTCCATGATGGATGTCCATTGGAAATGACGAAATGTGATCAGGTAATTAAAGGTTATCCTAATTCAAAGTCACAAAGAATCTGAGTTAAATTTGCAAAGACATTGCCTAAGTGTTGAGTTCTTGACTTTTGCAATCTTAATGCTTTTTTAAATGTAGTTTTATTTGTATGGAAAATATATTGAGAATATGATATGTATTTGCCTCCAACTTTTACATTGATAAAAGCTTTATTCACCAACTACAATATTTATTTTTTATCTTTTCATGAGTATGTAAGCTTTATGAGAATGTTAATTTATAGCCTATCTATGCAGTGATCACTATAAAATTCAGGACATTCAAAACAAGCCGCAAACTAGTTAATCTAGTTCTGTAAGCCATTAGTAGTATATGTGGAATCTTCCATTTTGTGAGGCCATCACCATCACATATACACAGACATTTCTATGGTACTTTGAAGTATAGTTTTGGGGACTGCCTGCCCAACTTGAGACCAATGGATGGGATCTAACTTTTAAGAGATCTGAACAATCCCACTTTGAAAATCGGGCCCATTTAAGATGTTGCAAGAAGGGCTCCCAAAAACTGAAGCACCCAAAATTAGTAACCCTTTTTTGAAAATTTATTTCCAGACCCCACACAGATCACCATTAGATTATAATTCTCTAGGCCGTTTATAAACTTGGATGAAATCCTGAACCTCCAACCAACCACTGGCCTCCAGCGTGAGGTGCTACTTAGCTCCAGAGGCAAGAGTTGGAGCTATTGGGTATGTCTTGACTACATGCCTCTGCCGACAGTGGCATGTAAAATAGGCTACCCAACATAGTCAGTGAAGCAGGGATTTAAATATCTCTGGCTTCATTAAAATAAAAATGGCCGCTGCGCTGTGCCAGCTCAGCTGATCGTCGGCACAGCGCGCGAGTCAAGATGTGGATCAGTCAACAGGGGAAGCTTTTGTCAACCACTCCCTTATGCCTCATGGAACGAGATTTACAGGAGTGGTCAACAAAGGCGTTCCCTGTCAACTGATCCGCGTGTTGACTGATGCACTGTCCTGACAATCATCTGAGCTGGCACAGCACGGTGGACATTTTTGTTTTAATGAAGCCAGGGATATTTAAATCCAGACTTCATTGACTATGTCGGGTAGTCTAATTTACATGCCTCTGCTGACAGAGGCATGTAGTCTAGACATACTGTTTATGTCTAAGTTTTATCCCTGGTGATCATTTATGATGGAGTAGTTTAGACTCCCATATTAATGTTCCCATATGTTCCCATTATAACCCTTCATATCTGATTTACAACAAGCCTTCTATGTTGAGAATTATTTGTAGGAATCGTTATATGCCTGAGTCTTGGAAGAAGTCTGGAAGCCTGGGATATTTTGCACACTTTTCAGTGATTGCTTTTCTTTTCTTTTTTTTTCTTTTTTTCGTTTCCTTTTGTACTGAAAGGCTTAGGCATACTTTTAGTGGCCTTCAATACCTTAACTGTAACTTATTTCAAAATAACCTGCTGTGGCCGGGTATCCCAGGCAGTGGGTGGCCTAGTGGTTAGGTGTTAGCTGGGGGTCTGGGGTGTAGGACTTCCAGCTGCTCATCAGAATCTGTTCTTTCAGTTTGGGGTGTGGCCCCAAGAGTCCAATCTTCCCCCTCTTCAGTGTGGTTTTCCTTTTGGTTCTCCCTCTTGTGCCAGGGGGAGAGGCTGGAGGCTTGTGTCCTCCTGTGGCCGATGCAGCAGACAGCTCTGGCTCAGGTCCTGTGGACAGCAGAACCAGCTCCTGCCTTTTCGCTAGTTAGCCCCTAACTGAGCTAGGTTCCCTCCTTTTATTCACCCTCCAGGCATGGCATTGGCTGCAGGTAAAATGGGGTGGGGCTAATTTGACAAAAAGGCCTTGTTTAGCCCCTGCACCGCCAGGCCCTCCTCTCACTCCCTCACACAGGGGTTATTTTGAAATAACTGCCTGCCTTATAGATGCGGAGTAAGTTATCTCGAAATAATGTCAAAATACTGTCAAGCTGGAGAACTTCTTATTCCAACTCTTGTAATAGAGGAAGAGTACTCTATTTCAAAATAAGTGCTGTGTAGACACTACCAATTTCAAAATAAGCTTTGCAATTGACATAGCTCAATTTACGTAGCTTATTTCAAGTTAAGCCCTGCTGTGTAGATGCACCCTATGTCTCATTCAAAGAAGATAAAGGTATTGTATGATCCAATGGTTGAAAATTAAAATGAGACAAATTCAGACTAGAAATAAGGTAAATTTTTAACAGTGAGAACAGTTAACTCTTAGAACATTTTGTCCAAGATAGTTATGATCACTGATACTTAACAAAATCAAGACTGGGTATTTGTCTAAAAGAGATGTTAGTAATTATTATGGGGACATTCTATGGCCTTTGTTATACAGGAGATTACACTAGATGATCACAATGGAATATATTAATCTTTACCTTTGTTGGGATTGGTGTTTGTTGTTCTTTTCTGTTTTTGAAGCTGGTTGAAGCTAGTTGTCTTATAAAGGTCTTATCGGCAATTCTTCAATTTCTGTGAAAACACTCTTGTTAATTCCTCTCGCTAAATCAGACTTCAGATAGGTCTACACTGGGGGGGAAGGAGAGGGATTGATTTAAGGTAGGCAACATTATCTTAAGCTGAGCTTGGCACCATCTCCACAGTGGGAGGTCGATGGAAGAAACACTCCTGCCAGCTTCCCTGACTCCTCACAAGAATAAGGTGCCAACAAGTGCACATTCAGTGTTCAGTTTAGCAGGTCTTTGCTAGATCTGCCAAATCTAACTCTGGAAGATCAATCTCTGCAGCACTGATCTTCTAGGAAGTGAAGATGTGGCCTTAAAAGCTTCACTGCTTTCTTTTTACTCTTTGATGTCATGTTATATGTAACCACACAGTTCTTTTATTTCTTCTGTAACTTCACAATACTCTAATGATCTCAGTAATGCCTGGCAGGTCCAGCCTTGGTGTGGAGATGATGTAGAGTTACCTCATCCCAGGAGTAGCTCTGGAAGCCCTTGTACCTTAAGCAAGTACAAGTACATAGCTCTGAAATCTCCTGAAAAATCCCTTAGATGATGTGATGTACTTCTTTCAGCATGCACAGACAGATCTGTTGGGCAGTGTCAAGTAGGTTGAGTCCAAAATTATAGGCCTGTGTTGACATAAGTAACATGCCTATTTTCTTAGTAGGAATAATTGGGAAGGTGAATGGAAGGTTAAGTTCATTATATTTGTTTTATTTAAATTATTTTTACTCTGCCTCTCTATTAAAAATATTTGAAATGACTTACAAGTTTTTTTAAAAACACAATAAATAAATATATATAACGTAAAATACAGGAGTTGTAAAAGTTGCAAGCAATAGGTTGACAACTAGTATTCTGGAGTCAGGAGTTCTATGCTAAAATAAGCAATCACACCCTGATGCTAGGGACTTTGGGCAAGGTAATCCTGGAATGTAGGGAGCAGGTTGTATGTGAATAAAAAATGTATGGATTATGTACAGCAGTGAGTGGCATCCTGAGGCCCATAGGCTGCATATGGCTCATGAGGGTAAACCACTGGCAGGCTGCCAGAGATGCTGCTTGACTTAAGTCCACAAGTACGGCTTCCAACAACTTCCACTGGCCATGGGTCACCATTCCTGGCTAATGGGTGCTGTAGGAAGCAGCAGCTAGCAAGTCCCTCGGGTGTGTGACACTTTCTGCATCCCCCATTGGCTGAGAGGTGAACCATGGCCAATTGAAGCTGCAGGAGAATGTACCTGCAAAATGCAAAGTTAACAACTTCTCTGGTGGCCTGCTAATGGTTTACCCTGATGAGCTATAAGTGGCCTGTTCCTGCAAAGAAATCAAACTACAGTAAATGAGTTTTCAGATTAAATATAATGTAATGTGTACACTTATATAAAGGAAGAAACTGCCTGTGTAACTTTGTACATATGGGATTCCTCTTATGCTTGAGTCTGATTAATTCAGTATAGTTTTGCTGAATGCCAAATAAAGGAACTTAAGTGATGAAAGCTGAAGTGAAACTGAGTGATTTGGATCCCAGAGAACTGGATGAAATGTTCTCCCAGAACTGCACAAAGTGTTTTGTAAAAGGTCTTGAAGGGAATCTGAACAATAACTCTGCCTCCTCTATACAAACCCTGTTCCCCTTAGTTTCTAGGACCAGTTTGTATGCACAGGACAATCCCATAATTAATTAGTCTTTGCATGCACCACCTTGGCCACTCTTTATATAGTCTACGTTGAAAGCTACCCTATTTCTAACTCAGTTCTTTGAATCAGAGATTACCTTGACTTATCCAAAGTAAACTGTTATAGATACTGGTATAATGTATTCATATTCTATAGGAATGCTAACTACTGTATAACAAGAAGAAACACTGTCACAAAAATGAACAGAAAGTAGACCAATTCAGCCCTAATTTAATGGTAAATTAGTGATGAGCCTTTGAAACAGGTGTGGGGAACACTTTTTGGGTCAGGGGCCACTAACACAGAAAAATCAGGCAAGGGCTGCATGCAAGTGAGAATAAAAAAACAACCCCTCGCCGATGCAGCTCCCCAACTGAGAAGGAAAAAGATGCTCTCCGCATTCCCCTCACACAGCAGAGCCTTGGGGGGCCCAGGCTAGTAGATTTTGGGTTCTGTAGTCCCATGAGAGGTGGCGGGGGCTGGAGCACCAGTACAGGCTTCCTAATGCTGGGGTGGGGGGAGCCCCAAGCCTCAAGGAATGGATCCAGGCACGCCAGGGACTTCATCTGGCCCCCGGACCTGAGGTTCCCCACCCTGCTTTAAAATATGTTTACGGTTACTTTAGACAAGACTCTGAAAATGTGGGTCGTTGGTGAAGCATATTTACAGCTTTAACTAAACTCTTTGGCTGCATCTAGACTGGCATGATTTTCCGCAAATGCTTTTAACAGAACAACTTTTCCCTTAAAAGCATTTGCGGAAAAGAGCATCTAGATTGGCACGGGCGCTTTTGCGCAAAAGCATCCGTGCCAATCTAGACACGGTTGTGCGCAAGAAAGCCCCGATCGCCATTTTCGCCATCGGGGCTTTTTTGCGCAAAACAGTTTTTAGCTGTCTACAATGGCCCTCTTGCACAAAAGCATTTGCGCAAGAGGGCTTTTTCCCCAAGCGGGAGCAACATAGTATTTGTGCAAGAACACTGACAGTCTTACATTAGATCGTCAGTGTTCTTGCGCAAATTCAAGCGGCCAGTGGAGACAGCTGGCAAGTTTTTCCGCAAAAGCATGCGCTTTTGCGGAAAAATTTGCCAGTCTAGATGCAGCCTTTGTGATGTTAGACATGTATTGCTACCTTCTCAACAGTGCTTTTGCAAAACCAGCTCATTCCACATCATAGTGAGAATGTGGATAGAATCCTATAGCCATATTAAACAAAATGCAAATGTGAGTCTTGGCTCTTAAGCTGCTGTCACTTCAGGGTTGTTCAGGATTTTCTTACCCTTCTCAGCAATGATAAATGTTCTGTTTGTGAAAAAAGCAATAAATGTCTCTTTTTTTTGTATTATTGCTGGGAGATCAATCCTTCATGACAGCCGCAATCATGCTATGAACAGCATTAACAACAAGAAAGTTCAACTCATTTTAATTAGTTATTGTTTGAGCAGTTCTTTGAACATGTAGAGTGATATATGAGTACTAAGTTTTTATTATTACTTTAAGTAAGTTTTTTATTGGGTTTATTGAGAAAAATTTGAATTTCTCACAGGAAATTGGACTGAAAATTGCTGTTAACTAGGAATCTTGGGAACTGAGCATGTAAAGGGATTAAACAAGCCACAAGTCTGACACCTTTTACCATGGAATTATGGATTTATTTTTTAATAGACACTGGCTCTAAATTCATTTAAAATGTTAACACAGGAAACAATTAAGAGCAGCAGAAGGATTTGGACAAACAAAAAGATTAATCAAGGTTTCTTCAAAATGAAAAATCTCTTTAGAAATTATGTGAAATACCATGTGGTAGCAGAATAAAATCCCAAATTGTTCTAAAACATACTGCAGAGCAACAAAAGTCCAGATGGAAGAAGACTTGAAGTAGTGCATTCATTAAGGCTGATAAATCATGCATTATTTTATGTATGAAATTATGTTGAATCACACTGTATATTATTTTATAACCTCCAAGAATACACTCTACTAATCTTGATCATGGTCTTGGCTATGAAGAGATTTTGAAAACTCAGAGCCTAGTAACATTTTTTTTTTTTTAAATACTATGAGAGGTGCTATTTATTTGTAAAAGTTTTTTTTTTAAGTTGATCTTTCCCTCCCTTCATTCTTTTCTCCTCCTGATGCAGCTATTGCTATTGCTCCTCCACAGATGGAGGATGAAGAACTTTTATTATATTGTGATTGCAAATTTCTTTTCTCTCATCATCTTGGAAGAGTGAAGCAGAATAATATGACTGACTGTGGATTCCCCTTGGTGTCATAACTATTAAGCAACTCTCTGAGGGTATGTCTACACAGCAAAGTTATTTTGAAATAACAGCCATTATTTCAAAATAACTTCACTAGCATCTACACAAGCCAACCTCTATTTCAAAATTAATTCAAAATATTGGAGGGTTTATTTTGAAATTGGTAAACCTCATTCCACAAGGAAAAACATCAATTTAGAAATTGCTATTTCAAAATAAGTGCTGTATTGACACATTTCAAAATAGGGGACCTCCAGTCCTTCCCAGGGTGCTCTGGTAGCCACTCTGGCCACAACCAGGAAAACTCCTCTCCTCCGCACCCTCCTCAGAGCCCTTAAAGGGGTAGAGTCTGTTTGGCCACCGTTCCTGTGCAAGCTCCAGGCCTGCCAGCCTGGAACCAGCAGTCGCTGCACCTGAGCGAGGCAACCAGTGCCAGCCAGCCCTCCACCACTCCCCAGGAGCAGTCTGCCAGCTCCCAGGAGCCTGTCAGGGGCTGGAAAAGGTGGGGGCCTGCCTGGTCCAGTGCAGAGATCATGGACCTACTTGAGGTTTGGGGGGAATCCTCCAATGTCCATGATCTCCGCACTAGTCAGAGGAGTGCAGCCGTCTACAGGCGGATGGATGCCAGCCTGGCCACCAAAGGCCACATGTAAAGCCAGGAGCAGGTGCACAAGAAAATAAAGGAGCTACGGCAGTCCTATGCCAGGGCCACAGGGGGCAGCTCCCAACCAGGGGCAGACCCAGACCCCTGTCCCTATTTTGATGCCCTGGACCGCATCCTGGGGGGGGCTGGATGGTCATTGTCCCTGGGGCAGAGGGCCTTGGCCATGAGACTGAGGAGGAGGAGGAGGAGGAGGATGGCCAGGAGCCTGGAGGGAGCATGCCCAAGCCATCCCAGAGAGCCTGTCGCCGGTGTCATCCAAGGCCAGGGAGGTAACATGTGAGTGCCATCGTTGTCTCCTTATGTGGGGGGCGGGGGCAGGGGAGGAGAGGGAGACCACAGATCACGCAGCAACCTATGCATGTGCCGTGCCACCCTGGGGCTTTGGCCTGTTACCCACACG